CTACAAACATGAGAACAAGGAAAATATTTAGGTATAAAATTAAAATTTTAAGCTCCCTTAGATTTATAACTTCTTCATTAAATATGTCTGCAAACAGCAGCCCATAAAAACCTGTAGCAATTAAGTGGTTAAATGAACTGCCTCCCTTGTCAATTTTAAGGGAGTGATTAATACGAGAACGTCCCTTTACTAATTAGACGCTCCCTCGTCTTTGAGCTTTCAAGTCCAATGAAAATGGAGGTTGTCTGCTCACCAGGAAGCGAGGTGGGCTAATGAGCGCTTCCCTCGGCCACGTCTCCACGCGCACTCTGGAGGGCAGGAAGGGTGTGCGCCACGGCTTCGGGTGAGCGGGCAGCTGGGGGCAAGGGCTCTGCATGGGGCTGGCGGCTCTGACTCCCCACCCCACGCCGTGCATCCCGGGACTGCTCACTCCTATTTTAAAAGGCTGCAGGTAGTTATGCATGAAATGCACCCGCGAGGCCACTGCCGCCCGACCCATCCTGGAGACAAGGGATGATGAGGTCCGTGAGGGAGGCCAGGCTGGGATGCAGGGTGGGCAGGGCGGTAAGGAGAGGCTAAGTGGCCCAGCTCAGGGGTACTTCAGAGGCTGCCGCCTGGACCGCAGAGCCAGGGAGGCCGGGGATGGCTGCGGGGAATCCATCAGATGGAGAAATGGGGCAGCTGCTTACGAGGGAAATAAAGAGCGGCAGGGACGGAGAATATTTATACGCCCATCTTCTCACTCCGAGGGAAGACGCTTCATCATGGGGTCGGCTGCAAAATTACACTCTCCCCTCTCCCAGCCAGAGCAGCTTCCAGGGCAGTGGTGGACCACAGCCCCATAGGTCCCTGCTGCCCTCCGCAGAGCAACATGACTGCTGCCTGGACCCTTGGGGCCCGGGGACAGCCCATAGCTGTCAAGCAGCTGGGGGGACGCTCTGGTGGCTCCTGTGGCCGCGGGGAGGAACAAAGGTTCACTTCCCCCTCCTGGGGCTTGTTCACCATGTCCAGGGTGGACACAGAGCCTCTGTTCTGAGCAGTGGGTACATGTGGGTGGCACATGGCTGGTGGCTGCTGGAAGGGGGGCAGACAGGAGGCCTCGAGGCCATCACTGGGAGCCGGGGGTGACGGCAGTGGAGCTCGAATCTCTCTATTAATCATGGCTTCATTCTTCTTTGAACAGCTACCTCAGAGCGCATCTCAACCATGAGAGGTCCCATCTTTCCAAGGATCATGTGGACAAACCTGCTCACTGGCGTGTGCACCGATGTCAGATTTCAACATGATCCTCCTTGGCTTGTCCAGGAAGCCTAGCTCAAGGTGTGGCATGTACCATGTTGCCCAGGAGATGTGCCCCAGGGTCAGACCTAAGCACCAGATGACACCTACCCTGGGCATGCAGATGGGACCTGTGTCCTGTCCACACTGCCTCCAGTCCATGGAGGTCTCTGTAGACCCTGGGCTTGGTGCTGACCTGTGGCCCTGGGCTGCCGGCCCGTGCCTGTCCTTTGCTCTCAGGCATCCCTGGCTGCCCAAGTTGAGTGCCACGCTCTCCCCTGAGCTCAGCAGCCTTCTTGGGGCTGAGGGTGAACTGCCCACCACAAAAGGGCAAGATCTTGTCCCCTGCCACGTGCTTCTCAGTGCCAGGCAGCTCAGTGGTCCTGGCTGGGGTGGGTTAGAAGGGTGGGGCCTGGCTGGAGTTTATCTGAGGCTCTCCTGCTCAGGTCCACCCACAGCGCTCAGGGCCGACAGGGTCAGGGGCTTCTGAGGTCATGGGGTGGGATGGGGCTTGGGATGAAATTCAGAAATGTCCCCCACCTGCACAGGGTAGCAGGAAAGCAACCTGGCTTGGGGCTAAAGGGACAGAATGACAAGCTGCCTTCGGGTGGACAGGCTACTTCCACTGAAGTCCTGATCCCCTTGAGAGGATATGGCGTGTTCAGCCAGGGTCACACTCAGCCCCCGCCCACCCCGAGTGCTGGGACCACCAAGCAGTCCCACTGGGCAGGTGGCTTGACTCCTTGAGTCTAGTGTGTCCTGCAAGGTGGGAGGACATTCTGCCCACAGGGCAGCCTAAGGCCTCTCCTGCCTGCCGAGGACGCTGGGCAGACGTGGGAGGCGTCCGGGTGGACAGGAAGCCACAGAGGTCGGGCATCTGTGCCTGGGCCCAGGGGCAGTCTCCCACGTATTTTTCTGCATTTTCTTCCTCATTTATTGGCCTTGGTTTAATAGTGTAAAATGCACGGGCTTCAGGAGCAAAGCAGATTTCTAAGCTGAGGTTTTGGGGCCCCCAACCGAGGCAGCCGGACTTGCTGGGAATGGAAAAAAAGGGACAAGAAAAGAAAACCATCTCGGGGACACCTGCCTGCCCTAGGCCCGCACAGCAGGGCCCGAGAGCAGAGCCTCCTCCTCGGTCTCCAGCTCCCATCGGCCTGACAGGCCACTGTGGGTTCTCTGTGGGCGGGGGACGGCTGAGCAAAGAGCCTCCCCCGAGGGTACCAAGGACTATCCAGCAGTGGACACTGGAGTCTGCTGAGCCCTCCGTCTCGCCTGGTCCCCACCGTCCAGTGCTCCTGGCCTCCCAAGCCCAGATGTTCTCTTCTTTACCCATCAGTGAAGATGAGGAATACGACGAGGATTTGTCAACTGGGGTGACTCTTGGTGGCCAGCAGCTGGGCGTGTGCCCTGAGGGGCTGGCTGGATGCTGCACGGCCCCTCCGTGACCAGGGAGAACTGTGGGGGTGATGGTGGCCACACGGGTCACAGCAACAGGCAGCACTGCTCCAAGCCACACAGGCCGTCTCAGTAAAGTGTGTGAGTACTGTGAGCTAAGTGTCCTTGTCACCACCCCGACTTTACAGCAAAGGGAACTGGGGAAGCTCAGGTGGAAAGGTGAGGTGGAGCTGGGCCTGCTCCGGGGCTGCCTCCCCAACCGGGCTTTGCCTCAGGGGCTGCCACACCCATGCAGTGACCTGGTGACCTGATAGCACTGAGGGGAGACGAGCTTGCTATCCTACCACACGCCCTGGGCCCTCCACTGGCCTCTCCTGCCCACCCCATCCCTGCCACTCAGCTGCCCAGCCAGGGCTGGAACCCAGGCTGCCTGGCCTCTGAGACCAGTTGTCCCCACCAGCCAGAGGATCTCCTTAGAGGGACATGGACCCACAGACCTAGCCTCATGGAGAAGAGTGGGTCTCAGTCTTGTCACTTGGAGCCTCGAGTCTGCCAGTCGGCCGGGGTGAGAGGCGGGGATGATGGCACAAGCCGGAGCCCAGAGCTGTGATGTGGCAGGTACGTGGGGGCAGGACAGCCGGGGGCCAGGGCACGCCGCTCCCTCCCCCCAGCACCCCCCAGCACGGCTTTCCTGCGGGGGCTCACTCAGAGGCCTTCTCACAAGGCCCCGGGGTAAGCTGTGTTGTTCTCCCCTTTGAACAGAGGGCAGGGGGCTGGTTCACATGTCTGTCCGCTGGACCAGACCGTGGCCTATCTTAAAGAGCCCAGGTCAGGCCCCTCCACCTACAGCTGGAGCAGGCCCACCCCAAAGGCCTTCCGTGCACATCCACTGGGCCCCCGCAAGACGGCATTCATACGCAGGTGGCCCCTGGAACCACCATGGCCGTCTGCTTTTGAGAAGGGCAGACAGGAAATTCCATGTGCACCTGCCTGTTTAATGCAGTCGCCAGCTGTTTTTTTCCTAAGTTATCAGAAAAACAAACAAAAAAAAACTATAGGTGACAATCAGGTTGGTTTTTATGATTTACTGAAAATCAAAGACAAAGGGGGAGTTTTTTGTTTTGTTTCTGCTATGACAGGTTTAGAAATTTGTTGTACTGCATTGATTCAATTTTCCTTGATTTCAGCCATCTTTCAATAATGCAACCTGCTTTTGCTAGCTGCATACACTGGAGAAAACCCCAAGGAGCGGAGAATATTGAAATGGTCCTACCATTTCCATCTTTGAGACAAATGTTCCTCTCCAAGGAGAGCTGGCTGCACCACGTGGCTGCTTCACAAGCTCCTAGACAGAAGGGGCGACGCACACTCTGATGCCGTCTTATGAAAACAGGAAGGAACCGGCAGGTCTGGCCTCCAGTCTGATGCCACTATCTCAACCCCGTCTCCTCAGAGCCACAACTGGACTCTAATCCTAGACGGCTTCCTTTTTTTTTAAATTAGAAAAACACCGAAACTCTCCCAAATCAGGCTGCCAAATGGGGTCTAAATTCATCGAGCACAAGGTACCCTGATCCCTCCTTTGAATCATAGAGAGGTCTGATCACTTCCCTAGGACTCTCCTGGTGGCACATAGTATAACAGGGAGAAAGAAAGGTCATCCCCGTGCCGGACCCCGGCCTCTACCTTCACTGAGCTGAGACATTTTAAACAGTGAAGCTATGCTGACAGCTCCCTTTGTTACTTAACACCTTTAATTTAAACATGAAGATGGGCTGTTGGTCATATTTGGCTGGAAGAATTAAGTACATTAAAGTGAGTAGGTCAGGCACGGTGACCACACCTGTAATCCCAGCTACTTGGGAGGCTGAGGCAGGAGGATTGCAAGTCCGAGGCCAGCTTGGGCAACTTACACCCTTTTTCAAAATAAAAAGGGCAGGGAATGTAGCTCGGTGTCAGAGCATTCCTGGGTTTAATCCCATTAATGAAGGGGAAAAAAGTGAGTTACTTTTACTTTTTTCTAATAGATTTAAATGATATACATACATATATATATATATATATATATATATATATATACATACACACACACACATATATGTATATATGTATGTGTATATATATATACACACACACACATATATATATGTGTATATATATATATACACACACACATATATATATATGTATATATATATATATTTTTTTTTTTTTCTCAGAAGGGCATCCTACACTGGCTGTTCCCGGGGCAGCCCACAGATCCCTTGTGGAAGGGATACCCTGTGGTGGACCAAGCCGGCCTGCCCTTCTCTGGGTAGCCTACTTACCTCTTTTTCAATTTCTGCTAGAGATTTGATGGTGATTCCCAAGAGATCAAAGGGCTGCATCTGAAAACACAGATCAACACCCTTTTAACCGGCTGCAAAACACGGCTTCACATTTGCACCTATGGGTGTCAACTGGGAAATCTTGAGCTACGCTGTGGGAACCCGCATGCCTCCACCTCTTCCTCACAGGACTCCACAGTTGTCAGTGGGGCACAGGGATGAGTAGTGGGGTGCAGGGTGGCAGCAGAGAGCAGGCATGGCCCTGAGCTGCAGGCTCCACTGCTGGGCCACCCAGGCGCTCACGGCCTCCAGAACAGTGACGGTGGCTGACGACTCTGCCTCTCTTCTCCCACATTCAGAGGAAAACATGGGCAGAGTTAGAGCTGTGGGGCTGGCGGTGCCTACGGCTGTCACCAGAGGTCACCCTGACCCACTGCCCAGGGTGGCAGTGGGTCCTAAAGATTTCCAGGAGTCCGTGGTATCTGGGGCAGGAGCTGAGCGGTTCCAGGTCTCTGGAAACAACTGCCACCAACTATCATTTGTGAACTCAGTGGTGGTGAAAGATGATGACACTGCATTTTAATGGGAGTTTCTATAATTTCGTGAAAATGAGGACTTTAAAAAAAATTGCTGGCTTTTCAGCATGAAAAATCAAACACACAGGCAATAAGTGTCACAGACGCCCACGAGAGACTGGGCTGGATACGGAGGAGCCCTCTGAAGCCCCTGGTCCATGTCCCTTCTAACCATGTCAGCTCTGTATTTCTGAGAGGGACACAGGGCCCAGCCTCCTGGAGTCCAGGCCAGCTGCTGGTGGCCTGGGAGGAGCAGGTGGGCCCTGAGAGTCACCCACAGAACCTGGGACCTTTGTGGTTCTGACCTGCGGCAGCCTGCAGGGGGCAGAGGTGGCGCCCACATGGGCTGCGGGGACTTCCTGGGTGGTGGTAGCAGGAAGCCAGCTCTGGAGTCCAAAGACCCAGATTCAGAACCAGCCTCCTAGAAATCCAGTGCAGATGTTAGGGTTTGGGCGTGAGGTGTCCCCAGGATACCTGTGTTGGGCAGCAATGCTCGGTGAGATGCCTGGGTGGGAGAGCTCAGACACCCCGAGTCCTTCCTAGCTTGAAGGAAGGTGGGGCGCGGCTGGGGAGCTGGGCCACTGGGGCGTGCCCTGGAAGGCAGCAGCTGCCCTGTGTTCCCGCCTCTCTCTCTGCTTCCCAGCCACCAGGAGGTGAGCAGCCGCCTCCTCTCGGGCCCAGAGGAACGAAGTTGGCCCACCATGGACTGAACCTCTGCAACCATGGCCCAAAATAAAGTGTTCTTTCTCCTAGGCTGAGCTTGTCGGTATGTGATCACAGCGACCATAAAGCTGACTACCAAACAGCTCAGGCCACTCTTCATTTCCTCACCTGGTAGAAAGTGGCTTGGGCCCGGCCTCCTGGCCAGGCCACTGTGGGGTTAAACGGCAGGAGTGCTTGTGGCCTTCAGTGCTCGCTGAGCCAGCAGCAGCACAATCACAGGGGCAGGGGCTTGGGACAGGGCCACCAAGTTAGACACCAAGAGCCCCTGGGGCTGCTATGCCAGTAGTCCCAAGAATGCCTGGCTCTGTCTGCGCTGCCAGCCTGCGCGCATGAGGACGGAGCCGCCTGCCTGCACCGCCAGGGTCCAGCTGTCGCGTCGTTAGGCCCTAACTACCCACTAAACTTCCCGACTGGAGCTGGTGAGCGGGCAGCGGGCCTCTCCAAGGAGCCGTGGGAGAGGCGCCAGCATCTCCATGGCAACGGGGCCCAGTGGAGCCGCGGAAGTTACTCGAGCTCCGCGTGTCACGTCAGGAGCATTTTTCAAGATTAAGCTGCTTACCAGAAGGGTTCAGAGGAGGCCTATTATATTTCATGAAAATGGAAAGTACAGAGCAGGTCAAATTGCAGGCCGGGTGGTTTTAAGCTGGCTCCAAGAAAAACAGCGAGGGGCTCTTTAGCGGGGTGCCCAAACTGGGACTTCGATTTGGAGCTACTCAAGGCAATCTTCTAGAGAAAGCATAAAGCCAGAAACAAGTTTACCAAACTGGTGTGGGCCATGCCTGCTGCCATCCTGGGGCTGGGGCATCTGCTGAGAGGGTCCCCAGGAGGGCCAAGCAAGCGGGCAGCCCAGCTCGGGCTCTTGTGCATGGCAGGCGCCTCTCACGGTCTGAATTGTGGCCTCCAGTCTCAGCCAGCTCACTCATTCTGTCCCCCAAGAGGGCTGGGGAGTGGGGAGACCCTGACCAGAGGTGCTCTGCATCCTTGGGGGCCTCAGAGCCAGAGCAGAGTACAGTTAGCACAGAATGCAGGAACTGCAAGGGGGGAGTGGGGAGGGCTCTTTGCTACAGGAAACCATCATCATTAAACAAAAAAGAACAAAAATTTCTAAGCTGAACACAGGAAACGACCTTCTCAACCCGCGAAGTGTGCCTCAATTTTGCACCACCTTTGAAACGAAAAGGCTCCCTGTGTGCCAGCCTCCACCGTCTTGTGCCCCCCACTCCCAGGTCTCCCCACGCCTTCCTTCCACCTCTCAAGCAACAAAGGGGCCCAGGGGGGAGCAGCGCCACCCCAGCTCTCAGGAAGCTCTTTGGGTTCCACGTGTAGGCAGAAGGAATCTGGGGCAGGGGTGTGGGCATGCCCGGAACAGCCCGAGGGAGACGCCAAGGCAGAGGGGCTTCAGAGGGTGGCAGAAGAAGGGGCAACTGGGCACAGGACTTACACTTTCTGGAACACAGGAGAACTTCTCTGAAATCATGAAAGGCACACCATCCATTGCTGCAAAAAAGAAAGGAGAGAAAATGGCATGAGGCCACCACCAATGTTCAGTGACGTCACCCACAGAGAGGGTGCGAGTGAGCCGGAGCAGGAGCCCTGCCCCCAGGGCCACGACTGGCGGGGACAGGCACGCAGGCACCTCCAGCCCCCGGGCTGACGTCTAGACAGCCTCTCCGCCCTCCACCCAGGGTCTTTCCAGGCTGTCAGTGGTGGGGGCCACCAAGGGGCTGACAGCAGGGAGGGGACAGTGCTGCACTCTGGGAGGTGTGTGTTGGCTAGACGTCTGTGAGCGGAGCCAGTGTCTCCCCAGGCTGCTGGGCTCACAGGTAAAGCCTCGCTGGAGGGAAGAGGGGCTCTGGAGCCGCTGACTGGGCACAAGTGCCAGCTGGGGCTGAGTGAGCAGCCGAGGTCACGTGTAGAGGAGGACAACCCCCAGCAGAGGGCTTGGCAGGCAGGGCGCATGCGTGTGCACACAGGCTGGGCACTGTCAATGACCCTTGGCCACAGTCCTGGGGTTTCAGGGATGAGGCAGGCCGTTAGTCTGATTTTAACAGGACCCGAGGGCAGGGGCGTGGACGGGTATCCAGCCGTGAGGGGACCAGGCCCAGAGGTGCAGGTCCTTTCCTGAGTCCTCCCCACACTCCACCCGCCCTGCCCCCAGCTCTCACTGTCAAAGGCACGGGGAGAAGGCACAGCGTCTCTGCTGGCCCTGCGTCGTGACAGTGGACAGAGCACTCAGCGGCCACACTGCCACTGGCCACCCCACCACACGAGGGACACAGTGACAGGGGCTTCCTGGAGAGGGTGTTAAGCCCAGGGGCTGCTGGGAGGAGCCTGAGCAGACAGGCCACACAGCCAGGTGGTGGCCAGGGTGGTGGCCTTGCCAGGGGCCATGACTTTAGAAGAAATGGAGGGAGGGAGGGACAGATGCCTTGATGGGGGGGTGCCCTGGGAAATGACATCCTCCGCTCCCCCAGGGTCTCCTCTGGTAGCCAAGGGCTGGACAATCTTTCGGTTCCAGGAAGGAAGAGCAGCAGACGCAGAAAGAAGGAGCGCGGAGGAGGACAAGAGAAAGAGGAGAGCCTGGGGCCGGCCCCCTCCGTCAGCAGGACGGCCGAGTGGCTCGCTGTGGGCCAGGCTCGTAACTGATCCCAGGACAGGGGAGAAGGACCTCTGCCCACGTGTGAAGAGGAGCAGGCAGAGCGAGGCAGGCTCCCACCACTGCCTGGGCACCTCCCCTCCCTGGGAGGCGCGGTCCTGAGCACCGGTGGGGACAGGACACCGGCAGGCAGTGGCCATCTCCCACTACCGCTGCCCTGTGACTGACTGTGATAGACCCCGCTGGGGCTGAGTCCTGAATGGGTGCCGGGGATAATCCCCCAGGAAGGCAGTGGAGCAGCGAGGGGCAAATAATATTCATTACTTGTTCGAGCACCCTGCTGGCCGTCCAGCACCTATGTATGTTTGTTTATTTATACCTGGAAGCCATTCTGTGAATAAAGGATCCTTGAAAGTCCAGAGAGGGTCAGAACTGAGACCCACTCACATTGGGGAAAAGGCCGTGCTGGCTCCTGCACCGCTCACCGGCCACCACTCGCCCCTATGACACCTGGGTGCTCTGACTTCTGACCCTTTGATGCTGTTGACCCTGGCTGGGCATGCAGGACTCATGCCATCTCTGGTCACTTTGCAGATGGGGAAGCAGAGACCCCGGAGAGGATGGGGCTTGCCAAGGTCACACAGGTAGGAAGCAGTGACCCCCCAAAGCCTAACTTGTAAAAAACTTGGATACCAATAACAAAGCATTTTCACGTACACAGGTATAATACGTATCAAATACATAGTTTGAAAATAAACTGTGGTACACATAAATCCATGCCACAGCACGTGTATTTGGGGTGTGTTGTGTGAACAGCACGTCTACACTGGGTGTCAGGCACACTCGGTTCTCTCTGAGCTGCTGGAGACCCAAGGGCATGGGTGGCGCGCACAGCCGGGATTGGGCGGCTGCTGGGCCATGGCCAGCCCCCGTCGTGAGCAGACCCAGGTGCCGGCCTCGGGCTCACCTTCCGTGCTGACACAGGCAGAGGGGATTCTTCACAGAGAAGCTCCTTGAGGCGGCGAAAGGTAAGAAGGTCAGAGGTGACATCACTGTCACACACCCCAAGAAGGCCCCGGAGAAGGAAGAGAGGAGCGTAGCCACGGTGCCTGAGGAGCGGGGCAGCTCTGGGCGCCCCCGGGTGCTGGCAGCTGGCGCACGTCCACCTGGGCTGGTGACAGAGGGGACTGGAGCTGCCTGGTGAAGTGGTGGAGCTGAGCCGAGGGCAAAGGACCACCTGCCTGAGAGCTCACGCAGAAGGACGCCCAAGTCGGCCCCCACCCTCAGGTCTTCTAGAGCACAGACCTAACCAACGCAGGAGAGAAGGCCCGATTGGCAGGATCTCAACTGCTCAGGAGGAGCAGGACTCCCGCCAGCACAGGAGGCTCCAAAGAGCAGTAGAGTCAGGGGAGCCTCTGCCGGAAAGGAGGTGCCCCGACCAGGCTTCACAGATTTAACCAGTCAGCGGACCAAAGATCCCGGCAGGCCGTGAGCAGCGAGCGTCAGCAGAACCTTGATGAAACTTCTTGTGTTACCCACTAGACAGGCAGAGAGGGACGAGTGGAGACTATCAGGGTTAGGAGATTGCCCACCGGCCTGGGCATCTGGGGGCAGATTAGCAGGACTGTTACCCTGTGCCACCTCTCTGAAGGGCACCCAGGGCGTCACCAGCGACCTGGACAAAGACGCGTACAGGATGCCCATCTGATACGCATCTGGGGCAGCCTGGAGGGTGAGCCTAGGCTGGGAAACAGCACAAAACCCAGGAGAGAGCTCAGAAACTGAGGTCCTGGGCCACACTACCCGGTGGAGCTTACTCAGGGTTGTGTAAAGTCCTGTAGTTTAGCTCCCCAAATCCAACTGTATTAAACAGGATGAAAGCAACACAGATAACAGGGAGAAAGGAAGGCAGACTTTCAATCATGTGACCTGACGGACAGCAAAGGGGAGGGCCACCAGAGAGGGCACAGTGCCACGCTCCTGGTGCCAGGTCAGGGAGCCGCTCATCGTGGTGTGGTCTCCTGTGCGGGGACTGCTTTGCACAGGGTCATCCCCAGAGCCTCCAAGGAGGCCAGGAAGGGGAGGGGACTTGAAGCCTGGCCCCATGAGGCAGAGGAGAAGCAGCCATAGGCCTGATGTCCCAGGACGGTGGGAGCCTGCCCACATTTTTTGCCATGTCCGACACACCCCAAGATAGGGGGCACCGTCCAGATAAGACCCCACAATGTTCAGGACCCACAGGAAGGGCGGCCAGACAGATCTCCCTGTTTGGGGGAGACCGTGCTGTCCTGGGGAAGAGGCACGAGGAGGCAGAGCAGGGGCTGCTGACCAGGGTCCAGCAGGGCCGCTTGTTGGAGAGCCAGGGAGGGGCCGTGGGATGCTGGCTCCTTCCAACTGCACAGCACCGGCTCTACTCTCCTGCTCTGGGCAGCCTTTCCACATTTAAAGTGCCCAGCACTTGCCACACGTGATCCTTAAAACCAACGGCAGGCACTTTCCACGCGTCCCTGAAGTGCTCCTAGATCCTCCCCGGCTCCGGGGTGCCCTCGCTCCTCCCTCTCTCCCCTGGCCGCCGCCAGTGCTCCCTCACTACTCTCCCTCACTACTCTGCTGTGATTGCCTCTGAGCAGCCGGTCTCTCACTACCCTACTCAGGGAGTCACTCTTTGAGGACCTGGTGACATGCCCACACTGCACTTGGCGGCTCTGCCAATCAGCAGGAGTGAGGGTGGAGCTTCTCGCTGAGACTTCTTGACCAGTCCCTAGTCACAACCCAGAGGCAAGGACGGTACCTGCCTTTCCTGAGCCAAAGGTGGCATTTTCGGGGCACACTGGCCCTTTCTCCAGCCCCTGTGACCCCCAGGGTGAAATACAAAGGCTCCCCCCAGTCTAGGAGGGGACAGAAACTCTCACCTAGTCCAGTTCTATAATAGAGAGAAAAGGAAAGGAAACCCCGAGTCCTGCCCAGAGCAGGCCACGGTCTTGCGTCAAATGACCTGACCCTCCACGCTGCCATCACAGTTACATGCCAGGACAGTGGCATGGAGGAGCAGCGGGCTGTGGGAGGATCCGCCCTGGGGTCTGGCTGGCACTGTGGGGGGCTGTGGTGGCCGGGAGCTGGCCCCTGAGTGTTCCTCCCAGCTCCGCGGCCATGTGGCCACACCCCAGCCACTTCACCTACCTCACCTTGGAGCCTTCGCAGCCCTGTCTGTGACATGGGGACGATGCCACGGCTGGCTCAGGAGGCTGCAGTGAGAGTGAGAGCAGGTTGGGGGGCGCAGAGGTGGGGCCAGCGTGGAGGGAGCCTGCCCACACCTGGTTTCTGCTGGGACCAAAAGCCACACACGGGCAGGTCTCCTTTCAGCACCAGGCCAGCGTTTTCGAAAATTTCCTTTTTTAAAATTTTTGGTGGCAGTTTTAGCAAAACGCTGATCCACGGCACAGAGCAACATCCAGTGGATGAAAGTGAGGACAAGCCGCAGGCTCCGCGCAGCGCAATTAGCATTCTCCTAAACAAACGCGCTTCAGCAGAGCTGTAATTAAGCAGGCCTGTAATTAAGTATATGCCCTTTATCATAACGATCATGCTTAAAAATGGCACGATGCATGGAACTCTGTTATTAATGCTGTAATCCCAGCTGAAGTGCGGGTACATGGAAATCAGCGTGTCAGGACTGTCACCAGAGTGTTTGTAAAATACATTAAAGAAAAAAACCAGAAAACAATGAGCTCATTCAACTGTTCTTTTTACAATCAGGCACTACAAGTCAAGAGGATTGTGCATGCTTACAGAGTCTGCAAGGTTTAAACAAATAAAGCTCTCATCTGCTGCTGTCGGGGCCCCACCCCCTATTTTAAAGAAGGAAAGGGGGAGGCAGTGGTGTTTTCCCCCACCTGACCTG